GATGGGCGTGTGTGGCAGGTGTGCTGGAGACGTGTGGTGGCACATATCCCATCTTCTAGATTTTGAGTGCTCCTTTTGGTCGGACTTTCTTTTTTGTGCCGGTGCCATGAAGGTTTTTTTTTTTTTTTTCTTATCTACAATTATGTGAACCAAATTATCCAGGTTACGAAATATAATTTTTTGATATCTAATAAAATTTCAGCATGTGTTAATTTTTTTTTATTACTTTATCATTTCCTTACAATCATCGACTATAACCAACCAAATCAAAAACAACAATTTTTATAATCTCGTGAAATCTATTTCCTCACTCCATCTCCATGCATGTCACACTATGGTTTCGTAAGCTGAGATTTTGTCTCATAGGGAGAATTTTTTTTATTTTATTCAACAGTTAGAGATGTTCGGACTAACTTATATGCATTTCAATTAATTTTTTATTTAGTCTGATCAAAGGCATGTTATTCACATCGAAATTAAAATATTCATGAAGAATAAATCATTTATGACTTGATCTCAAGATATTATCAAAATTCAAACATAGGATATCTAAGTTTATAATTTATCCATATTACTACTTGAGTTACCTTTGATATTAGAAAAAAAAAATTATTGAACAATACTACACTTATTACCTTTTTGCCTCACCTCAATATGGATTATTGTGTTAATGGATTTCATTGACTTTATTAAATTTTCAAAGGCTATAATCAAGTCACGTCAAAGTGGAGCAAGTCAAATGGTGCACAAATAAGTTTAAAAATTTGTCTTCTTAAAGATTAAAGTTAAAGACAAATAAAATTTTTAAATCATATATAATACCTAAAATTTCATTGACAAAAGAGCCAAAAATCGATATACATGAAATACAATAACAAAAAAAATTTGCAAAACAAGATTCTAATTAGACCCTTTTACAAAAAAATGAGACTAACTATAGTCTTTCATAATTGACCACAACATGATTTCATATTTTGAAAGCGTTGCATGATAACGTCATTATCAATGCAATCAAAAATGTCCTTCCCTATGTATACAATCAAGTTTATTGTCATCCATTGATCGCTCATTCGATTATGCAATCGATTTTTTACAACCTTCATAGCCGAAATTGCTCTTTACTGTGATCAAAGAATAATAATGTGAACCCCAACGTGTATCACAAGCACGTGTAAGATTAGTTTCCTGATTTAGGTCTCGCCCACTTGAAAGTTCCTCATTATTGAGTAATTCAATAACTCTAGTCACTTATTTCTCCCTAAGAATATCTCTCTATTTACATGAGGCTCCCATAACATTCACAATATTAGCAACTAAGTTGTAAAGAGTCATGATTTGAATAAGATTATTTGCAATGACCACAAGAGCTAATTGCAATTGATGCGAAAATAATGGACATAATATATATATATACATTCTCTTTCATTGTAAGTGTCTTGAGCCATTGAACTCACCTCGCATAGTAGTAGCCCCATCATATCCTTGCCCACACAATGTTGACAAGCTCAACTCATGTCTATGAAATAAATTTTCTACAGCTACCTTAAGTGAGAGAGTACTAGTATTAGTAACATATTCAAAACCTAAAAATTGTTCAACTATATGTCCCTTCTTGCCCACAAGTCGCAACAGAACAGTCATTTGCTCATTTGTTGATATGTCACGTGATTCATCAATAAAAACAAAAAACAACATGCATCACGAAGACAGATCACAACAGCATTACACGTTTCAACAGAAGCTGCATTTACAATTTCTTTTTGAATTTCAGGCGAAGTCAACTTGAGATTCTCAAGAGCATTTTTTGGTAAGAAATTTTAATGATTCATGTATGAAATTTAGAACACCTAAATTGTAAGATTTAGATCATTTAGGTTTATAACATACACGTATGAGTCATGCTATTTGATCTCTGGATTTCTTTCATGAAATGGAAAGGTCTTCCTCTCCTTCTTCAAAACAATAGGCAACTTTCAATGGGACAAGCCAAATTAAAGTTTTGAAGTGAAGAGGGGACCTAGTCTACTATTTATAATAAAATCTAATGGGCTATCCCATTACAGACCACAATTAGATTAAAGACTATACTTAACCGCTTCAACCACATCAATTAAAAGATGTACATAAACCCATCAAAATAGATCACTTCATAATATTGACTCATCTCATTGGACCATAAATTCAACCATTTTTTCACAAACTAAAAATTAACTATCAATTAATAGAAGTCCAATATAAGAAAAATTTTAACATTCTCCCACTTGGACAACATTAATTGTAGTCATTTAAAAATAAATAAATATATATATATATATATATTTTTTTTTTTTTTTTTTTTTTGAAAAGTGACTCTTGAGCTAATCAAACAAAACTCAATGTGGCCACAATAAAAATAATATGGTCCTGAGACAATATCTTAAACACGACTCAGTCCAATAAAATTACTATTTTCGAACCATGACGGCCTTTACATTCTTTATTAACATATGACCAATCCATGATTACAAAAAATAATAATTCTATTGACATGGATCAAGATGTGATAGTGTAGTAAGAAAATAACATTTCAATATGTGATCTAGTAAACATGTTATTTTCATTGTCAGTCCTCCAAATGATTTTTCTTTAACAACATTTTTCAATAATAAGTTAGAGAAATCCATTAGTTTTAAAAATAAGCTAGTATGTCTCCAAACTTAAAATCACAAGATTTTCTCAAATGATATAATCAGAGACATACTCAATTGACAAAACGGTCATACTTAAGACATACACCAAATCTTAAGATTTTGTATAAAATGACATGTCATAAATGTGTACACATATAACATAACAAGAATATCATGTTAATAATAAGGATAATCATTAAATATTTATTATTCATCAAATAGATGTATTTCAACCATAATGAGTATCAAATATCACATATAGAATTAAATCAATACTAAAGGTCATAGCACATAAATAAACTTCCATTAACCAAGTACATCAAAAGACCCCAAAATGCTCATGTTGTCAACATATTTTTTAAAAGTTACAAGTCTCAGTCCCTTGGTTAAAAAATCAGTAAGCATTGATTCTGTATCAATTTGTTTGATCACAATGTCATCTTTTTTTACAAGATCTCTAACAGAAAGATATTTAATTTTCATATGTTTAAACCCACTAGAATATTTGTTATTCTTTGATTATCACAATAAATTATTAGTAATTTAGAGATGGAATCAACAATCATAAGTTCTGAAATAAAATTCCTTAATTATATAACTTGTGTTGCAGCTCTATAACAAGCTACAAATTCAGCTTGCACAGTGGAAGAAACTGTGAGAGTTTGTTTAACACTCTTCCATGATATTACTTCTCCAGCTAAAATGAAAATATATCTTGAAGTGAATTTTAAATCATCCTAACACCTAGCAAAATCTAAATCTAAATAACCAATCACCTCAAGATTATCAACTCTCCTATAAACAAGTATGTAATTTTTTATTTTTTACAAGTATCTCATAACTTTCTTAGCTGTCACCCAATGATCTAATCCTAGTTTAAAAAGTTATCTGCCAAGAACACTAGCTATAAAAGCAATGTTAGGCCTGGTACAAATCTGTATATACATTAAACTGTCAACATCACTCGCATAAGGTATATTATTTATAAAATCTTCCTCAAGATCATTTTAGGGGCATTCTCTTAAACTAAATTTATCACCTTTCACTACAGGTACATCTCCAAATTTACAATTATACATATTAAATCTTTCAAGTAAACGATCTATATATGCCCTTTGAGAAAGTCCCAATAATCCATGACTCCTATCCCGATGAATCTTAATGCCTAACACAAAATATGATTCTCCAAGATCTTTTATGTCAAATGTTTTGCACAACAATTATTTACTCTCATAAAATAAGCTCAAATCATTATTTGCAAGCAAAATATCATCAACATAAAGAATAAGAAAAATAAATTTGCTCCCACTAGTCTTAAGATATATGCATTGATCCATCTTGTTCTCAACAAAATTAAGAGAACTTACTATCTCATCTTTCATAGCACCTACCCACATATCAGACTAAGGACAAATAATAACATCACGGCATGTTACTTGATCAACAATATCACCAATATCATAATCACTTTCTTCAAGATATCTATAATATAAAACAGGACGGCTTCAACAAGCTGATCATACGGTCTTAATTCATTTCATCCAACGGCCCACAATCATCCACAACATCATCATTTTTCCTCCCAAGATCATCATATTTTACCCACAATATTTTTCAAAATTCTGACCTCTCAATCAATATTCAGTCACCTCACTTGGTCTTTTTTGTTTTCCCCCACCCTTCTGTCAAATGAGTCATGCCTCTCCAGCTACATCTTCTGTTTCTTTTTTTTTCCCTCCCTCTCACTCATTCAAAATTCTCACCTATCTCACACTCTCTCTCTCTCTCTTACGCTCCCATCGACACCACTAGAACCATCGCTTGGATATTTTTTATTGTCCTAAATCGTAGAACAGTCCAGAAGAAGGCACTCCAGGCGACTCCGGTGAACTGCGACTGCGATCGATCAGCCACTGCGATCGATCGTCCACTGCGAACAGACGAACTCAAGCAAGATGTTCTTGATTTGGGTTTAACCTGGAAAGATTTTAAATTTAATATTCAGTTTTGTTATGGGCTGTGTGATTTTCTTTTAAAGTCATTGTTTATAGAGTGGTTTGATTTTCTTTGTTCACCTCCATATATTCTTGTGATGTTTTCCCTGCACAGCGCACACAAACAAACCCAGCACACCCACACCCAACACAGACCCAGCACCCAACACAAACAAAGCCACACACTTTGGACACCAAGTGTTTGTTGGAATGACCAACAAAAAATTTGTTGTTATTATTATTATTATTATTATGAATTTCTTGTGTCTGCTCTGTCAACATTAGTTTGATTCAATGTGAACTGGATGCTTGATGATCCTCTCAGTAAATCACATCTTGGAGGGTTCTGAACCAAAATGTAACTCAAGAAATGCCATTTTTTTTTGGTTCTACTTGCTTCCTGATCTTGGCCATTTTTTTGATTATGCTAACATTGGATGTTTTATGACCCTTTGGTTCTGGTTGGCACTCAAGTTAATTGACCTGACATTCAAATAATTGCTTGACGCAGACAAGCTAAACTGAAGCAAACGGTTTGTTTGCCCTTTCTTGGGCTGATTTCGTTTGATGCTCTACACATTGGGGTTGGTCTTAGACTAATTTTCTTAGCCTAATTGAGTTTTAGTTTGTTAGACTTTGCTAGGTTGTTATATTTGTGTCTACTCTTTTATGGCTATGCATTGAGTTACTGATTAGAGGAGCTATTTGTTTTCCCTTTCCTGGTCTGACATATCATCACAAACATTTCTTCATAGTTCATCAGTTTCCGGAAGTTGTCCATCATTATGTGGTCTTGACCACTTGTTGCAGTATGTACACTAGGTTTTTCATTTATATTTATATTCGAGATGAAGTGAAACTTTGAGATGTGTTTTTTTTCCTTGCATGGAAAATGTGCATATAACATGATCACTTTTAGTTAGAATGCATGTAGAATTCTAAATGGATCTTCTACGGTATGTCCTTTAAGTGCATCTCTAAGTCTTTGGTTTCCATTTAAAAAATTGTTCCATTACATATTTTTTCACAGGTCAGATCCCACGGAAAATGATAGTGTAGAGGGTTTGAGACCAAATGCTAGAGGGCCTGGTCTGCATGCTAAATCTCTGCGATATATGTAAAACGGATCTCTATTTCTTTTTTTTTTTTTATCAATTCTCAATAATTTATTGCTACGTACAGGCAATAATCCACATTTTTTCATATTCAACATGCTAACTATCAGTTATAGAGTTTATAGGGTCAATGTACAAACTTCTTATAAATTTAATATTCTTTCCTTGTGTTGACATACTCTTGTGGCCTTAACTTTGTTCTGTAACTCTATCTCATTACTTGCAGCCTGCTCGGGTTACGGACTTCTGTAAGAAAAACAAATTACAACTATAAGAGCACATGAATGAGTTATGGATAATGGTATAATGTGTTTGAAATTATTTTTTGGCGTATAATGTGTTGAAATTATGAATTTCTGGTGTACCTATTTTAATTGATTCTTTCACTAAATTTTTATTGATTTACACTTGGTTTGATTTTTGCAATTTTATGTTGTATTACATTTGCGCCTCTGCAATGGATTATTGGAATTAGTATGTGATTAGTATTATTGGAAGGTAGGAATTAAACAATACACTGTTCCAATAGTTTTTAAACTTTCAGAAATCTAAGACATTTTATATTGGTTCTTGAAAAGTAATCACCTCACTTTCATTTTCTGCATATGGAGTCATAACTCGCTTTGCATTATACTATGCAGTGGAAGCACCATAGTTGGCGTCGGTTCCCCAGACCCCCCACAATTTGTCTGTGATGATAGTGAATACGAAGATGTCTTTGTGTCAGGTAAGCAACAAGTAACCTGTCCAGGTTTTTTGTCTGGTAAGCCCAAGTTATTCATCCTTCTACATCTTAAAAAGGATAAGTTTTAAATACTTGTCAAATCATTATCTGTCTATTTATTCCTTGCTTATCAAATAATAGTTTGATATGTGTCTATTTCTTGTTTTAGTTTTGTGGGTAGTTACCGTCTTACCAATTTTTTAGGGGGAATTTAACCCATTGTAAAGAACAAAATGACCCATGTTTTGATTTCTTTGATACTTGCAGGGAATTGCTTGGATTGGTGGGTTAAAGGCCCTAAATTTCTTCACATTTGTGAATCATCTTTGTAGGTAATTTTTTGATTATTATTATTTTTTATGTTTGGTACAATTCATGTTGTGAATAGTCTTTTGTCGAACCAGTTAATCGAATTCTATTTTTCTATTTTATGTTTTTCCTTTTCTAACATTGTACTATTGCACATTTTATGTGATATATGTTAGGTTCGCATTAAATGTAGTGTTAAATCAGTAGTAGGTAATCCTATTGCTTAGGGCAAGAAACAAACATATATATTGTCACATGTGCTCAAGTTGTTATGAATGTGAAAACTAATAATAAGAAAAAGAAGCAAGAGAAGATGAAGAGTGACCAATTTTTTAATAGAATTCAATTCGTTCGTTTAGATTGTTGATATTGATTAGGTTTCACAAAAATTTACCAAATAATGATTAGTAAGATAGTGGATTGTGGCGTGATGGTGATTGTTGTTGTAGTGGTTAATGGGGTTATAGTAAGATACGACTCTGACGTGATGGTGAGTCCTATATTGGATTGTGTTTTCTTCGAATACATGGTTTTAACAAAAATAACAAATTTTTTTAATAGAGATTGTTAGTACACAGGATTATCTTTTTGAGGATAACTTCTTCACATTCTTTCTATTCAATAGGGATTTTTTAGTGTCTTTTTCCACTCCATGTTTAAGATTGTATTGCAATTCTTATATGTTAATATTTGCAATTCTGTAGGTATGTGTGGGTGGATTGTTGGGTTGGTTGAATGAGTGGTACATAGATGGTCTAACAACATAAATGGTAGTGTATATAGAAGTTAAATGATCCACTTAAGTGTACTTTCTTTTGTTGGTTTTTACTATGCATGATTCTTTCGATCCTTTTATCGGGTTTTATTAGATGGGCACATCTTTGCAATTTTCTTTTTCTGGCAACATGCACACAACATCTCTTATTTTTCTAGGCAGGAACTCTTATTTTTCTTCTCTGTTTTTTATTAGTAATTTTTGTGGGTTTGTCCTCTCCTATGTGCAATAGCTCTAAAGTTTGTTTTTAAATTCAATTTTTATCCCAGCAAACTAACTTTTTAAAGCTAGCCAGTATACAACTTTTATCTTGTGTGGTCTTTTTTTCTACCACTACTCTTTAGTTTTTCCAAGTAGTTGCTCAGCTTTTGTTAATGAGTTTATTTGGGCTTAATTTGCAGACCTAATATATTAATTTTATTTATTGTGACAATTGGATTAGCAACAAGTTCCAATGTTTGATAAGATCTACTATCAATCCAACAACTATAGTGGTCAAGTTAAATTAAGTCTAAATAGCATTGGTTTTTAGTACCAACCGAGTCTCCCTTTTACACCAATCAGATCTCCCAAGTAGCTGCCCTTTCATATTTTACTAAAGCCACAAACCTGTCACTTGCTGACTCTTTGCAACCACTAAAATTCACTCAATTACATAAAATGTAAGGACTCAACAAACCCATGTGCTCAGGTGTTGCTACTAAGGACTACACTTATAACAATTACATAAAATGTATCTTGTAAGCCATTTTTCTTTTGTTGATGCTCATTTTTTATGTTGGAATTATGTGGTTACGTAGTGCCTTTTGGCATGAGTATTTACTACCGAGCACACGGGTTTAGATGTAGGAGGAATGGTATTTTTATGATTAATTGTATTTTAATTGGGTGTTTAATTTGGCTGTATTTTAATTAAGCGTTTAGTTTGGTTGTCTTTTAAATTGGGTGTTGAATATAGTTTGTGAAATTTCAATTTGAATTTTTAGTATCTTGATTTGATGAATGTTACTTTGTATGAAATAGGTTTTTATAGGGTTTTGATTAATTATAGAGATTGTATGTCAATCTGTATGAATTAGAGGCTTATTGTGTGTTAATTGATAGAGATTGAATGTCAAGTAGTATGAAATAGAGGCTATGATGTGGCTTTAGCAATTTTACAACAAAATAAATATGTGTATTTAACGAATATTTTTAATTTTTTGATTTACTATGTTTCTTATATTTGTAGCTATCATAGTGTACTAACCACCACTGCAAACTCTCAACATTGAAAAATGAAAGATCTCACCATTTTTTGTCATGTGAGTTTAAACATCTTCTATTTTTTTTTTCGACACCGCAAAATATTCACATATTTATTTCACTTTATTTTCACACATCTTTTTACAGATTGATGACGACTTAGTGCAAACCGTAAGATGAGTTTCATTTCACTCATATTCTTAATAATTTTTTCTCTTATAGTTTGTGTTCATTTACCTGTTAAATGCATATTCATGTACAAGTTCAATTGCTCAAGAAAAATAATGTTGGTGTTGTGATTCGCGACGAACATGAACTCAATTGCATCCTCATTTCTGATGTAGTGTCATGACACATCAGTTTGTTTATAGATTAGACTCTTTTTTTTCCTACATAATGATTTCACTTATCTATGCTTACTATCCAAAAGGCAAAGGAAAGAGCAGTTGTAACTGCAAATGCAAAGTGTAAAGGAAAAGAAATAACAACCTCTTCTGATAAGGAAAAGATAAGTATTTTGTGCCAAGTGGTATTATATTGCTAACATCTTAACTGTGTTATTTTATTGATCAAATGTTTTATTTATGTTATTTCATCTATAGAATTGGGATGAAGCACTGCAGGAGTTAAAAAGACTAAATGCAATCCATCTTTTTCTGTGGGGTTGTTTGAATAAGGCAACTAAATTTATTTTTTATTTTTTATTTTTTTTTCAAGTTTATAATTTTAAAATTTATGTCGTGTACTAAATTTGACTTTTTATAAATGCTAGATTGTTGTACATTCTCCAAGTTGAATGCTGCGAATTTGGATTGATACAATTACATTCAAGACTGTGATAGAGAAACTATTTTTACAATGACGTGCAGATAAATGACTCATTTTGACAAACTAGATTAAAGAATGACCCATTTTATAAATGTACTATATATAATTACGTTTTTTGGTCATTCTTTAATCTTATTTATGTTTAGGCACAACTATGTGGATTTGTGTGTGTTTTGTTTGTTCTGTGTTTAGTACGATAAACTAATTATACATTGTTATGAGGATATGTTTGGTTTTGAAGTGAATTGATGGCTGAGTATGGAATTAAGTTGTGATGTATGATGATTGTGGTGGAAATATAATTGAATTGTAGTGGTACATGCCATTATTATGATTGTTCTGTATTATTGTGAGTTTTGTAGACAGGTTGAAATCTTCTTGAACTCCTATTTTTATAGGAAGTTTTGCCAAAATTTTTGAAAAATTAGTGGGGGCATGATTGATTTCAATCTATTTAATTAAAGCAAATGTTGAAAAAATAATTTCAAATTAACCATTTATTTTAGGTTGCAAAGTGTTTTTAGGCACAATAATATACTTCAAGTTTTAATTCAAGTTTTTGTTACTTCTTGTCTTTATGCAAGGACAATTACTATATCAACTTAATCGAATTTGCGTGATTTTTTGTATATTCCTAAGTTTAGTATGGTGAAATAATTTCACGATTATGAGGATATGTTTATCTTGATATGAAATTGTTGATTGTTTTGGTGGTTGCAAAGTGCCTTTGTTTCATTTGTTTTTCAATTCTGTATATAGGTTAGTATTTCATAGTCTTCTATTTTCAAAGGAAATCAAGTTGAATTTTTGGCTTTGATTTGATTGTTTTGTGCATTCAAGAGACATTAATTTTTGTAGATAGGTTGAGATTTTTATGGGTTCTTATTTTTAAAATAAACTTTGCCGAAATAGTCTCCATTCAATTGCTTAAATTAAAACAAATTAAATTAAATTTTTTGGGGAATTAACTGGTTCATTTACGTTGTACTGTGCCTTCAGGCACGGGTTATCTCTAGTACATAATATTCATTAAAAATAACAAGTCTCCTTAGTCTTGTAGACCTTTTCAAGAAAATTTCAGACTCTAAAAGCTAAGGAGCTTCAATAGGAACATAAGGGTCAATTGTAAGAACCAGAGGATCAACAACAGAAGCAGTTATAAACTTCTTTTGCATAACAGGTAAAGTAATAGAAACAAATTTATCTTGATCATACTCACTAATAGGCTGCGAGCAACCAACATTAGTAGTATCAAACTGTAGAAATTTTGTTGTAAAGGACTCAATAATTTTAGTACCATGTGTAGGACAATAGAACATGTATCCTTTTGAATGTTCTGGATAACCTATGAAGAAATAACGAATAGTTCTATAATCAGTTTTTTTCTTAAAAGGGTTATATATTTTGATTTCAGTAGGAAAGTCCTAGACTCGAAAATAGTTAAGGCTTAATTTTTTACTATTGGTCCATCATTCAAAAGGTGTTTATGGAACAGATTTGTTATGAACTCTAGAATGTATGAAACCATTTTAATGGCTTCTCTCCAAAGACAATCAAGTAAATTATACCTACTTATCATGTTCCTCATCATGTCTTTAAAGGTACGACATATGCCTTTCATCCACACCATTCTGCTTGAGACTACCAGGCATAGTATATTGGGTAACAATCCCACAATCTTGTAAATACTTGTCAAACAATCCCAAATACTGCCCAGACACGTCATGTTTGTCATAATACTCACCACCACGGTCAGAACTAACAATTTTGATATTTTTTTCTAATTGTTTCTCTACCTCAATTTTGAAAATTTTAAACTTTTCAAGGGCATCAGATTTTTTATTAATTAAATAAATATATCCATAATGAGAGAAAGCATCAATAAATATAATAAAATATTTATTACCACACAAGGTACGTGAGTAAAGTCCACTAATGTCAGTGTGAATAATTTCTAAAAAATTTAGACTAGGAGTTGCATATTTCTTCTTAATCTTGGTCAATTTACCCCTACAATCAGCACCAGTTTCAAGGTCTTCAAAATCAAGGGGAAGAAAAATATCATTATTTATTAATCTTTTCACTTTTTCTCTAGAAATGTGACCCAAACTTTTATGCCACAACTGTAAAGATTTTTCTTTATTGAGAGGTTTCTTAGATACAACATTAACAATA